CCATGTTTGGGAGGGACAATCATTTTTCCACTCTCAAAGAAAAACACCAGCGGATAAACAGAACTCTGGGATGATTGAGGCAAGTTCAGAATCACAGCTATGGAATACAGTGGTAGTGAGTTTATCTGAACGAAGTAGTTTGGAAGTACTAACGAGAGTGAACAATCCTCGTGGTGATAATCGACAAAGGTGAGATAGGAAGGCCGGACAAACTGGTACAAACTGAGGAGTGTTAGACTTAGATCGCAGGTGCCTCCGAAAGGGAGGAATTTGAGAGGTTCAGGCGTCAAGTTTAAAAAGGAATGAGGAAGTTACCACTGACTGTTTTGATCAGGCTCTAAAAGAAGAGACTTCCGAATGTTGGGCAACCTTTCGCGCAATGGCTTTACCTCTTACTCCATCGATAATATATGGGCAGTTGGTAGATGCACCAACGTAGTCTGTGAGAGTCGAGGGACAGAGGTGCACCAACCAAGGCTTGTATAGCCAATATCCTCTACCTGTAGGCACGCATGGTTAAACCATTCGGGGGATTACCGCGTCCTGGTTAGAAAAAGTGGGAGTAGATTGGTGAACATTGTTACATAGGACTTTCGTAAGTCTCCAAGCGGAAACTGGGGATCTGCTGAGAGAAAACACTTGAGGAAAATTGCTATAAATTGATGCATGCTGTCTCAGTCGCCAGGATACAATGAGGGGAAAAGTGAAACTCGGCACAAAAAATAGTGAAGCACAAGAGAGGAAAACGTTACAGCGTAATCAGATGGATGGGACGCCAGAAAGACATTAAGGGTCTGGGAACAGTCACCTCAGTCCTCCGCTCTCCAGGGAGACGTTGACGGCTCGATGATGCTTTCTTGCAATGAGCGGTCAATTTTGGAGCGAATAAATTTTTCATCATCCGGATGATGCCTTCTTGATTTGGTTGCAACAGGCTTGCAATCTAGAGATAAGTTGGTGAAAAGTGTTGGTGATTGAACGTTTACAGCCGGTAGGCCGCAGATGGTGAACGCATCACGATCCCCGCCGAATGAAAGTTCTTTGCCATGCGGACCTAGAAAATCATGCCCGATTAAAACGTCGGTGCAAAGGTTTGGCATTACAAAGATCTTCAGTTCATTGTATAAAGTATCTGTATCGGACAGAAACGCAAGCGTAACCAGTCGTTCGACAGGATGGGGATGTAGACGCCATTGTAACGACTGAGAAAGTTGGGTAATTTTTCCAATTATGCAGTTTCACGACCTTAGCGTGAAGGAAACTACAAAAACTCTCTGTATCCACCAGAGCACGGAGAGCCATGTCATTGACTTCGATAGTTGCGGTGGTATGTGCCAGACAGGTAGGAGTTGCTGCAACGAACAATGACGACAAAGTAGGCTTGGTTGTACAACTTGTGTGGGGATTCGACAGTTTTCAGATGGGTTTCGAAGGTACAAAGTCAGTGTGTTATAACTTGCTGGACGGTAATGCAACTCTGTGTCGGTCCCTTGGCTTCCTGCTCCGCCCACTATGGTATAGCAAAAGGCACGGTAGCTGTACACAGCTGTACACAGTAAGGGAGTAATGATTAAAAAAAACTGGGCTATACAGTCCGGATGATCTTTATAGGAAAAACGGACTACCACTCGTTACTGTGGAAGTTGAAGTCCCTGAGAATCCAAACCCTTGCCATAGGGTCGGACTGAAAGACCTATTCACAGCTAACGTCCGACGGAAAATAGAGGACAAATATGCACTACCGCCATTCGGAGATCGATGGACGAGGTGAAAACATCTGTTGCATCGGGTGAAATTCAACTTACGCCGAAACGGTGGTACACAAGTCTACGGCAGTTTTGTAGACACCAAAGGATATTTCTCTCTGATGATGATGATGACAAAAGGAAGCAACGAGAAAACACGGCTGGTAAATCGTAGATGGATGATGTCGCCAAATCCCAGATATAGGTGCCAGTAAGGAGCAAAACAGGTGTGAAGCAGCCGTTATGCTCAACGCTATACCATACCATTAAGACTACCGGAAGCTGCTTCTGGATCACCTGACACCCGAAGATAAAGTCGTGAATAAAGTGGACTGTTCTGGATCATATTCAGATACACTTCCTCGCATGCGTGTTTCGAAGACAGAGCACATCGATATCCAAAGAAAAAGGGTGCATGCAAGGGAGGACTGTTGGTTATTTGAAAAATAATAGGAGGACCAAATGCTGCTATGTCAGACAGATCCCCCGGTGTTAGTGTTGCACTGATAGGAATCGACACCGGACTTATAGAACAATAAACATTGGGATGGTTTGGCGGTTAGGACGCGAACTTACTGATCAAAAGGTCCGTGGTTCAAACCCAACCCTGAAATATCGACTGCTGCTATCTAGGCTTGGGCAACCTGGGGGTACTTCAGCCTCTGTGCTTCCATCGCATGACATATCAGGTAGGTATCGGAACGTCGTCACAGTTGAATGACTGTTTTTATCCTACTTATACAATTGCAACCTAACAGGGCTGTCATGGCATGCTGGAGCTGCTGCTCCGTGAGTGGACAGATAAGAGATCCATTTTCAGCCGTACACCTTTTGGGTACATAGCTGCGTAGGCGGATCGCTTCCCGAATGCCCAAGCCGAATAAAGGAATTTGTTTGAGTTACACTACCTTGAGCATATGACTCAAACGTCTGACCCATAAGGCAGAGGGAAAAGGCACAGTTTTCTTCCAGGGCTCTCCAAAAGCTTCCGCACACAAAACGGTGTCCGTCAGGGATGCTTGTGGACGTGCAGTCACTGAACACGCCCCTTACAATCCGAAGAGAGGTACTGGAAGTTGTGGAGCGTTTTACGTATCTTGGAAGT